AACTTGAATTTTTGTCAATTAAATTTGGAATAGAGATTAAAGAGGATGTAAACGAAATATCTGACTATCAAGAAAATTATCTAGTTTCTAAAAAAATTTTATGAGAATAAAGTGGCAATTTATGGCGCGAGAAAATACATCAAACAAAAAGATCTATGAGCAAATGTATTGCTAAAGCACTTATCGTTTGACACCTACTTTTTGATACATCTGCAGTGCCTACTTCTGTAGTTTGCGAATTCGAGTAGTTTTGGCTTTTGGTTTGCATATTTCACTTTCTAATAAAAGAACTTCGGCTGAAAAATTGCACCAAAAGCTTTCCTTTTCATTCAGCACTGATTTAAACGTATATTTTCATACTACTGTTTATATATTTTTTTACTGTATGAATACAAATTTAACGAACGAAAAATGCTATTATTTTTTTCTTTGTAGCAGTGAATATACAGTAAAAAATTGATGTACATGAATTATGTATTAACTATTGAGATGATCGACCGATACCTTTGCCGTTTTCTTTTCTACTTTTTTAAACTTTTATTACCTTTTTAAATAGTCTTCTGGAATCAAATTTTTGAGTGGTCCTTAAATGACTGTTACTTTTAGATTAAAGTGACACTTTCTTCATAAAACTCTATGGCATTTTCTTCTCGTTAGGATTCTGTTAAGACTGCTTCAACGTCCCAAAACAACAATGGAAAATATAAAAAAAGTAAAGGAATTGAAGAATCGTAGTCACTGTGAGGTAAACGAGGACTCATACTGAAAAGTGTTTATCAACGGGTTAAGTTTATGAAGATAGAGTTACTTCGTTGATAAACTTTAAGAATCTGATGATAATCTTGTCATATATTAAGATATAAGGCTTTTTTAGAAGAAGTTGAAATTAAAATCATTGTTAAATGTCTCAGCCTTTCAAGTTTTTCTTAGCACTTTATGAACAATGTAGCAGAGGACGACAAAATTACACAGTATTAGTCATTACACACTATTCTGCACACCGAACTGTCATAGCCTGCATTTTTTTTTGGCTGTGCATTAAATACACAGCAACTTCGATGCTTTTATTTTGTACTCCCGTCTATTTGCATGGAATGAAACCTCATTACCTAATCTTAGCAAGCTTAACGAGTAGTAAATTGCGAATTGTGACGTAGACATAGTGCCATAATCTTACATTGGCTTTTTTTAATGTACCCCTGATAGCCATTTTTACTGTTGCTTCGGAACTTCAGCAAAGTGCTGTTTAGTAACAACTACAAGAAACTGAAAGACCGTAGTTTACAAAAAGCACTTTCTAGAAACTTTAGCTTTAGATAGCAATGAAAATTTCCTTTTCTTTTTGTTTATGTGCTTTCCTTTTTTGAACCAATATTTTGAAAAGAATTTATGCCTGCGCTTTTGTCAAACCACTTTACTTTTCGTGTCGGGTTGAATAGAATGATTAATATTTTATCGTTAACAGTCAAGTAATCTTCATAATTCCGTTTTCTGATTTCAGTTTTAAGTAGTTTCTAGAAGTTTATTAGGAAACAAATATTTCTTTACTACAGTAATACTACTGGTAGAAATATGATAAAGAAAGAAAATTTTACTTTTTTTCAAGTCGGTCACTGTTTAGGAGAAAAAATGAATAATTTTCTTTACACTTGCCGAAAGAAAAAAATGATAGCCGTATCGCTTTGAGGTCTTTAATACAGTTGCCAACAGCTCGAAAACCTTGGAAGATCAACAAGTTGTAGTCTGGCTTCTTGCTGGCTTCCCCTTGCTTGTGTATCTGGTTGGTTAAGATAAGTGTAACTCACTGGCAACGACTGGCACAACGGGGTGTGTATTATTAAAGTTTGTTTCTAAGGTTTTGTGCCGTGATGTAGCGTTAGCCCAGGTAGTGTGGTATTTGTGGGTAGCTGCATAACCATCGAAGGAGACCCATCTATTGGTTTTTTTTATTTGATTAGTACCGTGCTTGTGAATTACTCATAAAAATTTGGTTATCATGGATTTTGTTTGAAGTGCTATAAAAATTCTACCACGGTGGCGACGAACTGTAAGGGTTAAATGTGCAAAAAAATTACACAGTGACTGCTAAAGATTTTTTCAGGTGTTGTCGTCTGCTGAAGTTTATGCTCCGTCAATAACAAGATTCACTACCAGTGACCGCATTGCTAGTAGCTACTACGATGGTTTAGTCAGAGTAAGATATGTACTAATGCTTTATTACCAAGTAGCTTAATGCATAGGAACCTAAATATATACACTGATTGTAAGCATTAACTTCTTAGGTTACAGTTCGCACTTACTTTAAGGTTTTTTCAGATCAGCAACATTTTTCTCCGGAATGCTAACGCATATACTACACTTTTCCTACACCTTTAAAAGTGTAGCATATGCAATAGTTATGTTGAAATCTGCACATTTACTGTTACAGCCTCATCATCCTAGACAACGTAAACGTTCTGCTATTGAACTGTATAAAGAAAAGCGGACTTCAGCATCCGAGGGGAGAAGGCGAGTATCAGGCGATGTTAGGAATTGCCTGTTGAATGACCAGGACTGGACTTTTGATGTCTTGCAGTTAGAAAAGATCTCAGATAATCATGCATTGAGTCAACTGGGAATTAAGGTATTAAAAAGAGAAACGGCAGAATTGGTATTGATTGTGAAGGCAGTTATTTTGGCATCTTGAAGGTACATGTTTAGACCTTTGATCGCTGGAAAGTTCATGAACATTTGCATTGTTCGCCAGAAACTATAACGCATTGGTTTGGTCTTATAGAATCTAATTATCATAGTTCGAATCCTTATCACAATGCCACTCATGCGGCAGACGTTCTTCATGTAAGTTGTCGTGAACTTCATCAACACGACAGTCTTGAATTTTTTTGAAGCCCAAATGCATAAAAAAATTTTCAGGCGACCTCTTTTTTTCTGGATTCTCCAGTTGTCATGAATCATGTACAAGACATTCATGCAATAGCTGCATTGATTGCTGCAGCAGTCCACGACCTCGATCACCCTGGTAATAATCGTATCTCAGTAACAAAATTTATTTTTCAGATGCAATAAATTTAACAGTTTTTCGATCAAAAAATAACAAC